GGGGGAAAGAAAGAGTCCCCACTGAATAGCTATCATCTTGTCTAGATGGGTCTGGTGAAAAGAGATGGGGATAAGATTCGGAAGATTCAATAGTGAATAACTGTTATCATGACTAATCGCGACTGTCATAATTATAAAGGTAGAAGTTTTGTAACAAAAAAAGGGGAGTGGTTAATCTTACAGTCCAGAAACAGAGGACCCTAGCACCATCAAGAGAGAAGCGCACAAGCAGAGTGCAGGACCTTATCCAGAGAAGCAGCAGCACCAGAGATGGAGGCAGAGATGGGGGCATGGAAAGAGAGAGCAGCTGACGACTCTAGATTCATCAACCAAGAAGAGAAGGACTAAGAGCTGGTGGCCAGGAGCAGATTTGCAGAATGTGCCCTTTGGAGATGTAAATTATATATGCCTGAGTGGTTTTTGTGTGTGTGTGTGTGTGTTTTTAAAAAGCTAAAGTGGATAGAGAGAAATGGTTTTAAATCATGGTATATGGAGGGGATTATAATCAATGTAATGAAACAAGTTATATGAATGGTTGAATGTGAAACTGATGATGTGCCCTGTAAACTTTCACTCAGTCCACAATAAAAACCTTAAATTAAAAAATAAAAAATAAATGGCTTCGAGACCCTTCCTTGGGTCTTTGAACTACCTGCTCCTCCCCTGCATCTTGATGGATAGGAGGAGTACACAGAGGTTGAAAACTCACCCACCATATTACTTTTTAATTATTTTTTTTAAACTATAGGAAAGGTTGGAAGCTCAGTGGCTCTGTAGAATAAGCACTAGACTGCGAACCACAAAGTCGGCAGTTGGAGCCCACCAGCAGCTGAGGGAGAAAGATGAGGCTTTCTGCTCCCGCAAAGAATCACAGCCTGGGAAACGCTGTACAAGGTCATTATGAGTCAGAACAGATTCAATGGCACGTAACAACAGAGCAAAGGTTAGAAAACTTTTTCTGGAAGAGGCCAGAGAGTATATACGTTAGCCTTTGAAGCCCACACAATCTATATGTATTGTAACTATTTTACTGTGGTATCACAGAGCCTGGAAATGCCCATGGTGGGAGCACCTACACCATGGAATTAGGAAGCATTGCAGATTGGGACTTTGTTTTCCCTCCAGGGAGTTAGCTATTAAACATTTACCAGTCAACCACTGGCTAAGGAAAGGAAGAAGTCAAAGATGAAAGGCATCAAGTTTGTTGTGATGGTTATGTTATGTGTCAACTTGACAGTGCCATGACTCTCAGTGGTTTGCTAGGTATTATGTAATCCTCCTCCATTCTGTGATGTCATGTGAATAGCTAATCAGCTGAAAGGGGAGTTTCCTTCAAGGTATGGTCTACCTGAAATAGATGGTGAAGCTCTCCCTCTCTCAATCCTTAGTATAAA